TGCCATTTTTAATAGGATTACCGCTCAAGTGCACTTAAGCGAGCACCGAGCATCGCATTGTTGTTGTGTTGTTGTGATTTTTTCGCATGTATGTTTACAGTAGCAATGTGTTAATCAAATCATCTTGACAATTGTTTACAAACTTTCCCACTGCACTACCCCGCTGTGCGTCCACGCGTTCAACTATCTACTACTATATACTCTACGTAACTAATTCCCATTGAGCGCTCCAAGCTATTCACACTCTTCGAGTGTGTCGAGTGGATTTCAAGGGGATTATTATAATCGACGATTAGTTGAACTTAACTGCTTAAAGCAGTGACTGATAGCCGAGCGTAATTATTTGTAGATGGAAATCTCAATCGTTCTCATAAATTTAGCTAAGCAAAGTGGTTCTTTTTGAACTGTTTTCGGGCGAATTTGATTATATAATTGGTAATTAGACTTGATCAATTAGTAATTTGAGCATTTTTAAAGTTAAAAGAAAAGACGGTATTCCAAATATAGGCGACTTCTAGGCTTTAATTTGAAACTGGAGCTTTCATTTTCATCAAGGAAGACTAAGTGGGGTCCATTCTTTGGCACCAATATCAAGTGAACCTATTCACAGTTGCCCCAAAGTTGGATAAGAATGTACGTGTAGATGTCTTCTGCAGGGAACTTTCCATCAACCTCAGTTCTAGACTTCCGAACAACTTCAGTGTCTTCTAAGCCGAGGTAGGCGTTATAATAATGGGAAAGGATTTGTTGTTTAATCTTTAAAGAGGTAAATATTTGTGCTGTTAGACAGGCTCCAGATTGATTGACCAGGCACTCGAAACTGCTCGGCAAACGCTAACTTCTCTGTTCGTCTGTCGCACTATATTGCAGGAAACGATTGGCGAAATAGTCAGGTAGTGCTCTCTTGAGGTTTCGTCTCCAGATAAAGTAAGTAAGCATGGGACTTTATACGGGTACGTGTGGACTACTTCCCGATGAAATTCTTAGCTGCGCGGGGATTTAAAATACAAAATCACTTGGCTATGCTAGATACGAGGAAATTGGTCACGGTCTAACAAAGGAGCTCGTAAAGTTGGACAAACCATAACCCTCTTTAAAAAAATGGCGGTCTTTAAAGGTCAAACTTATGGAGTAAGGCCTAACCACTGCTCAAGCCCTTACTGTGGCAGCCGCTTGGCAAATCATAAGGAATAATCACCACCTGCTCCTAAGTCGTTCAGCTATATCAAAATTAAAGCTTAGATATCTTAGGTCTCATTTCTTCTAATGAGTTTTCGGTAATGAACCAGATTTCTTGTGAGTCTACGCAGCTTTTCCGTATTTATTGAAATCCGTTTTTTCGTTTTACTACGAGGAAGTGTTATATTGTTTAGCATACTAAATCTTCTTTTTCTTATTTGGCATCAGCGGGTTCCGAATTGAATACTTTCAGAGCTGGAGCGTTGGTCCATCCATTCGCACAACATGGTCAAACGAGTGCAAGCGCTGTACTTTAATCCACAGCACCCCACACTCCAAGGTTCGCATCGTTTCCACTGCTCCGCCATATACCGGAGGGGCATAGATAAGAGTGTGATTTTTGAGCTACATAAAAAAGGCGAGCTTGCATCTTACCTTACCTACACGGTGCTACGTAACGCTTTGTGGCAAAAGTGATTCTCCGTTGGATTTCAAAGCTGGCACTATTATCGACGTTAATTCTGGTAGCTAAATAAATGAGCCCCTCTACTTTTAAGTCAAAAGATAGATTCTTAATGTCGACTCTCTCGGGTCTTTTCCAAGATTTGTCGTATGGTGAATACTTGGTCTATACCACATTCCTAAGGCTTACTCAGTTCGTTGGCGGTGGGTTTCAGCCTTTCCGATGCATAGAAGTCGGATACCTTGGTAGTTGGTGCAAGTGGCGGGGTCGCTTTTATTGTGGACTGCGCAGAGCGCACTTTAATTCCAGTAGTCGGGCATGCGTTTATCTGATCATATTTTGCATAAGTGTTGATGCATGCCCCTTATCAACTCCTCGCCACGTAATTGCTATTCCCACCATTTCGGACTCTATTTTCTTATGCGTCTCGCTTCCTTCTTAAGCTCCCTATATCGGTCCCACATAGCACGCGTTGCGCCCGATCGCAGCGTGGCCCTACAGGCGGTATATTTTTTCTCTGCAGCTTCTTGACACTCCTTATCGTACTAATCGTTCTTTCGGGCTCGCTGAAATCCGACTACTTCTTCTGCAGCGGTAGTTAATGAACGGAAAATGTGGTTCCAGTGCTCGCATATGTCGGTTTGTTGAAGAGTGCTCTCTAAGAGCAAGCGAATGCATTGGCCGTCTGTTGTGATTGCAGCTTTTCGACGTTAAGCTTTCCCTGCATTTTTGGGCGCACATTTTTTGCTGCACAGAGGCAGGTGCTTATCTTGGCTGCAACAAGAAAGTATCCCTAAAACGATGTTGGCCCTCGGAGTCTTAAACATTAGAGCCATGCCTTCTGTCTATCACAACATGAACGACTTTGTCTCTTGTTTTTTGATTTGGAAACAGCCAAGTAGCATGATAGATCTTCTTATGCTTGAACCTAGTCCTGCACACTATTGTGCATCGGACAGCGGTGAAGTCGGATGAGCCTCAGTGAGTGCATCATTAAACGTTTCGTCGTAAATGCTGAATTTCCTTCCTTGCCCACCCTGGCATTGATATTGCCAAACACGATTTTGACATCGCGACAGAGGCAGCGCTCGTATGTGTTCTCCAAGCGCTCATAGAAATGATCCTTAAACGCCTCGTCCTTCTCTAACTTCGGGGCATGGACGAAAATGAGCAAGATGTTGAAGAACCTCGCTTTGATGAGGATTGGTGCTAGACGCTCGTCCACAGGGGTCAACGAATGTACTCGGCAGCATGTAGTAGACGTTGCAAGGCTCCACGACTATACTAAATCCCGACTCTTGCGCCCTTGTACGCACACTCTGGGCAACGTGAGAACCCGATTGGATCCTTAAGGATCCGGTTTAAGGGCGCGCTGCAGTCTGCAGCATCTGTTCAGCTTAGTTTTGGCTAAAAGCAGGCGTCTGTTGTATTGGAATGAACATCTTCAAAAACTCTCCCAGCAATGGGTTGTTCACTGGGCTTGGGACCCGTGAAGTAAACAACAGTTGCAACGGAAAACCCCAAACTGAAATCTACAGCATCTTTTAGTTAATAGGTGCGCCTGCAAGCCTATGTCTTTTGGAGCATGCAGCTCGCTATATAAACGTGTATTCGGTTAAGAAATCACGCGCGTCCCAGCAATGGGTTGTGGGCTGGGTTTGGGACCCGCCACGTAAAAACTCCTTTCTGTGAAAAATAAAAATAAAACCCCGGGTAAGACCTCCTGCGAACAACATAAGAGTCCCTGGCGCTCAGCCATGCCTACAAAGGACAAGCACAGAATAAACTATGTTCATACAGAAGAAGCATATCGCTAATTCCATATTATACTTTACACAAATATGTATGTATGTATTTGTGAATGCATCTGTGCTTTTGTTTCTCACACTAATGGATTTTGTGCCACCCCAAAAAATTCTACTTAACGCACTCTATCGACTTTTTCATGCAACAAAGGACATTCGTGGTGAAGGGTGATTGTCCTGGCTATGCCATAAAAAGCTGTGCAAAACAGCCGAGAAAACTTTTGCAAGGAAGCTAACGCAAAATGCGCTTTCCACACACACACACAAACACATTTTGCAGGTATTTTAGCAGCGAATGGGGTGGTAATTTCAAGATTTTTATAAAAAAAAATATTATACACAAGAGTGAATGATTGTACTTACCGCTTATGCATTTGCTGGAGCTGCGATGATTTTCACTACTCGTGCTGACAGCGTGCGGCGTGGAAGAGGACGAACATACAGAGGACGATTTTTCTGAAGATAAAAGGGAGTTTAACAAAAATTATTAGACTTTTTACCAGCGTAATTATTTCTTATTAAAAAAGATTTTTTTAATATTAAAAAATATAGTTTAAAATTACTAAGTAAATTTATATGGCAACCACAATTTATTTCCATTTTGTGGTTGCGCATCAAATTTGAATATTTTCCAATGTGCTGCGTTAGGTATCATTTTTTTTTTTAATAGCACAGCACACTTTTACATTCGTCACACACAGGCATCACGGTCTACCAAATTTCGAGTGCCTAAATTTTCCCACAAAGGACCTTTTCTCAATTCCCACCCAAGTGGCATAAATTATCGCAATCATTATTGTTGCCAAAGATAATTGTCACATAATCAGAGCAATTATTTATGGATGTTGATATTGACAATTTGCAGGCTGACAACAGCCGAGCAGCAGCCGCACTGCTTGGAAATCACTTTGAAGCAATAAAACGTACCAGTTGCATGGAATTGCAGCGCGAAGGGTGACCCATGGAACGGATGTTTATAACGTGGCGAAGCACAGCGAATGAGATGGCCAGCACCACCACCAATATTCGATATGATTTTTGCAAACGCGCACTTAAAATCAAAGCCTATAAATCGAAGGGGTGGAGCGCCGCCGATGTACTTTTGAAGTCCATATAATCATTGCTGTTGTTGTTGTTATGTGTATAGCTGTGCTTAATTGGCGTAAATCTTTGTTTGGTATAAACAAACTCCAGATTAAAATGTTAAAATATGACCAGCAAGTTGCAAGCGAGTAAGCATTTCATGTTATCCTTTTGTGGCTTGATGATGCACAAAGCGTTCAAGTAGCTGTTGCATACGCGTGCTGGCATGCGTGCGAACGTCCATCAATGAGGTTGTAGCGTGACAAGTTAAAAAAAAAAAAAGTTGTGACGTACGGCCAATAGCCATAGAAGGAAGATATGGCACAATGGTGAACGCACGCGTTGCTAATGGATGCTATGTATGTATGTATGAAAGCTATAAATGCTATTGTGAATGGAAAGCTATTGTTTGTAGCCTCACAATGGGTGAACAATATACATATATACTCTGTCCAGTAGCTTCGAAAACTCGGAAATTCGCAATTACAAATGAGAGAGGGAGGTTGCAAATTTTTCACAAATCCTAAACCTTCCAAAAATTATTTCGTTGTGTTCTTAACACAGAGAGAGGAGCTTTTCATTGTAGAAATTTATATACTCATTGGGACTCCATTGCAAATTTTTCCTAAAAGTCCAACAATTATGCTGTTGAGATTTTTTCTTGAGATAGAAACAATAGGTTTGTTCGTCGAAAATCCAGCAAAAATTATCTCCAACACTCAAAATATTAGGGAGTAAGAAAAAATTCTCTCAAATTCTCTCTCATGCTAGAAACTTGCAATTTTTTCCACAGTTGCATTTCAAACATAATAAATTTTTATAGATTTTTTTAAATTATTTCAGATGGACAAAAACAGGATATATGTACATGTATATCTTTTGTTGTTCTGACTTTCTTTAACATACATTTCAATTTCTTTATCGTGCTAGCTGTCGGGTTTCTTTAATCGACTCTGGTTGCAATTGCATTCCGATTGCGAATACAATTTTGTTTCAGCAGAGTTAAGTTCAAATCATTGGAATTAACTAAATTAATTATATCAACAAGTATTTACTTCCTTTTTTCATAAAAAAAATCGCTCGTGTTTATAAGTTTTTAAATTTAACGAACTCATTTATTCAAATTATCGTAGACAAAAATGCAACCATATGCCACAATTATATGTTTTTTGCGATTGCAAATTCTCGGAGGCTAAAATTTTTCCAGCAAGAATGTACAACTTCTCTCAGGAGAACTGTCACTTTGCGCTATCAGTTTTTGGTGGATGGATAATTTTTGGTCTGCACGAGCGCGATTTGGTCAAAAATCATGATAATTCGGACAAATTCCTACAAATTTTTTGCTCGACGAACAAACCTAATGTTTGCTTATATACAGAGAGAGAGATTTTCATTTACATAAATATCTACTCTTAGGGATTCCATTGCTCGCCGATAAAAATTTGGATGTCGTTGCAGGAATCGAGACTCACAGAGCGAAAACCACCTAATAAAAAAAAACAAGTCTAAGAAAATGTCTCTATGGCTTTTCTTCGACAAGAAAGCCTTCTTATTTTTAATGGAGTATCCGGTTACCTAATTAAAAGCTAAGATTAGAAAAAGAAAAAACAAAGTCTGCGCCGACCTGTCCTCGAGCCCGACACCTACTAAATGGTCGCCTTACTGACACTCTTCCATTTGATAATAATATTAATTTAAAATAACTTTAAGAAGGCATCACATACACTTAAGAGGAAGTACTTTTCAATGAATTCAAGAAGACATTTAAAAAAATTAAGAAATGTTTCTTTTTAAATTATGCAATCCAGAAATTTTCTCCATGATTCTTAACAGATATTTTAATTGTTAGAATCACTAAGAATTTTCACACAAAATCAACAAGGGATCTTTATGAAATTTTCTTTGTTTTTTCGTCTATTTTACCTGTTAGCTTAGAAAGTTTTCAGGCAGACATTCCTCTTGCTTCTATGGGCCATATTTTTATGTGTGGGTCTTATCGAATTTGTGTGCGATCCTCTGGAGTTTATTAGCCTTATGAATTAAATCATATTGGTCAACTGCTAACACCTAGCGCCTAAATGCATACCACATCGTCGATAATATGTGTACCGCTGCGTGTGGAACAGTTTTCTTTATGAAATTTTTGCATAAATATGCACTTCTCAAGTGTCATACAAAAGGACTTATCAAAGTAATAAATTGATGGCACCTCAAATCATGCTCACTAGGCTGGACGAAAAAATTCCATTTTCCGATTTCGAAATTCTAATAGTGCGGAACGGTTGCGTAACAGATCACATTTAATCGTGTAAAACCGTTTTCTGATTGGATAATATTTACGGTCGCCTTAAGAGCCTTAAACTTTCGAAAAACACTACATACAATTTAGTTTTTTTTTAGATTTTCTAGCCCATTTAATTAGTTTAATAAAGTGAAATTTTCAGTTGCTAAAAAATTGCGTTGTTTTTTGGCAATTTTTTTTTTACGGTGTTGTGCGTTTCCCTCCATATAACAAAAAAAAATTTACGATCATACTTTGTATGAAAAAACTGCGTGGCATTCTCGGCAACAAATTGCCAAAAATTAATTGTTGGCCCTACCTACTTCAAACTTGCTTTTCTTTCTAGAAAATGTTAAAAAAAAGTGAAAAAGGGCACCATAATTTAAGATTTATCGAAACTTTAAGGTTCGTTAGTCGACTGTAAATATTATCCGGCCGGAAAACAGTTTAACACGGTTCAGTTACAATTTCGAAATCGGAAATTTTATTGTTTTCGGTCCACGCTAATGCTGAGCCTAGCTTGATGCATCCTCCTAACAACTCGTGCGGAGATAATTGCGGACTCTGGAAGACTTACAAACATGCAGATTTTGTAACTGATAGTTACCATTGACCACAGTGCCTACCCAACGAAGCACTTTGCATGTCGGGTTTTACGCCAACCTCGGCGTCGTAGTGACCGATGTTCAGAACTTACTTAAATTATGGCGGGAACAATTTTCCATCCCATTTAATTGTAGCAGCTTTCAAAGTAGTGTAGAAGATGAACCGGAGACTACAGTCGATGGCGAGAGGAGCCATGACTCAACGCCTGATCATCATGAGGTACTAATAGCAATTTCACTACCAAGTAAGTTGCATTTATGAACCCTTGTGCAGAATGTGTTCAGTTTAATGATTGGAATTTGAGTATGCTTTTCCCAATCGGGATTGCCCGTGATAAGCGCCTACTGCCGTGGGAACAGCCTTCGAGATATCGTCTATAATGTCTTATCTGACGTATTGTGGGAATGACTGAAGCCCACCGTCAACGAGGTGATGTTGCCTTAGCAGTGTGGCTTTAGATCTAACAAATCCACCATAGATCAGTTATTCACCATACGCCCAAACTTGACTTGGTCATGTCGTTCGAATGAACATAGATGCACCGCTCCAGTTCTGAAAGTATTCAACTCGGCCGGTTATGGTAGAGGAAATTTGATTGTGATTGTTACAGGAAGGCTACACAAATTTTGACTACGAACCAATTCAAAGTTTTCAAGCAAAAATCCAAAATACCTGGAAAACGCTTTACAAATTTAAACCAGAACTTTAAGTTTCTCTTCTCTCAGAGACATTCACCAGCGGCTATTAAATCATAATTAAAGCGATTTATGTGATGACAAAAGTATAAAAGGAATTCTCTCGCATGCAGTCAAGCAAAGATATACGAGCTCTGATTTGAATAAATTGCTCGTAAATTCTTCAACGCATACCATTTTTGAGTGGATAACGTTGCAAGCATTTGCCATTTTCCGCCGTCCGATAGGAGTGTAGTAGTAATGGAGTAAAATAAAAAAAAACAAGTAAGAAAGTCTAAGTTCGGGCGGAGCCGAACATTAAATACCCGGCGCAAGTATTAAATATGTTTTTTCACCTTTCCGAAACCTTCCGCTAGATGGTAAGCCGGGGTGTATCAATTTTGAGTAAATTAGCGTCCTTCAATTTCGAAATATTGAAGTTTCAAGCATTTCTGAAATTTACCGTTATATGAGAAGCGGCCGTTATTTTAGTCCGATTTCAATAANGAGTTCACCCACACAAGCGTGAAGCTGGCACAAAGTGTTTTGTATAAATATACATATGTACATATGTATGCGTTTAACCTTTGTGCTGCTTATGTGTATGTGTGTGTGTGTGTGTTTATTTGCGCGCTTATAGCGTTGTATCTAGAACGCATTTTACTATGCTAGCGAATCCTTTTTGTGTACTTTTATGATCATTATTATTATTATTATTACAGCATTTGTTGTTGTTGTCGTGGTTGTCGTTAAAGCAAAGTTATCTCATGCCACAATTTTAGCATCCTCACAAGCATACGAATGTGTGCGTG